AATTTGAGTGTGCTCATGATCTAATTAGGGATATCCCCCAAAGTCATCTGCAGTCTAAAAACTGTAAGATAAAATTATACATTTTAAAGCTCCATATGGAATTTGCTCTTCCCACAAGCCTCCTCCTGCTTCCATTTTTCTTGAGAGTAGACCACATGATTAAAGTGCCATTCTCTCTCATTGTAAAGTTTTCCAATGAAACACTGGAAATGGCCAAGGAATAAGGAATGTGAGAGAATATTGTTGCATGAATTTCAGGATGAACGGAGCATCTATCCTATGTGCCAGGTCCCATGCTGAGGACTGGAACACTGCAGTGAATAAAACAGACCCTGTCCCCATGGTCTAGCAGGAACTGCAAAAGCTAGTGTTGACCCAGCAGTGTCCCAGTGTCTGAGATTTGGGGTTTGACAAATAGGGCCTCCTGTCCCTAGAAGGTGACCTTTAATATTACAGTAGGGGCAATTCTTCCATTTCCCATAAAATAGCAAACAAGACCCCCCCATCCCTTTTGCCCCCACTCACCAAAGCCATCTGTTATTAACGAAGGCCAGAAATATCTCCACAATAAGAAAGAAAGCCATAGAGAAGGAATGAGAGGTATTCTTTAACTGACACACTGGCCTCTTTGAGTGTGGTCACATTCACTGCTGTGATAGTACCAACGTGGGGTAAATGGGCAAAGCCTTGGTTTTGAACTTGCAAAGCAGAGGCCCAGATGTCAGTCGATGGTGAAAAGAGCTACAGCCTGGGAAACAGATGTCAGCCAGCATCAATCCAGTGATCATCAGCGCAACCCTCTCCAGTCCACTCTTTCTTACCCCTCAAGGACACCATATCGTCTAGTGTTAAGTACACTTTCACACACACACACTCTATTTTAAAGTCTCCAACAACCCACTGGGGGATATTTCAACCTCATTTCATAGATGAGAAAATCAAACCTCCCAGAAAACATGTTCCGTTCCCCACAGCTGTAATGCAAAGCCAGTGCTCAGACCCAGATCCTCAGGCTCCAAACCAACGTGCTTTCCACTTTCCTGTAGCTGTCTACTCTAGTCATTTTAGGTCTTCTTTCTTTTTGCACATGTTTCAGCTCGTCCTGATGGGCAACTATCCTACAACCTGCCAGTTTTCTGGGAGCAGCCAGATCACTCCCCTGCTCCCTGTCCTGTCTTGTCCAAGTAGATTAGTGCTGCTCCCAAACCTCTTTTGCTTCCCATAGGAATCCCATATCTATCATGGATGTATGTGGACCTGCTTTTAGAAATAGTGGGGAGCACATGGGTGGCACACAATGAGGTTTTCTAGGAATCTATTAATAGTTTTGCAGACGCTGTTCAGAATTTTAAATTGACTGATTTCAAGATAAATTACCTCCTAAGAAAGACATTTTTCCCCTGCTCTTCCCTTCAACACTTCTCATCCTTAATATGGATTTGATTTTGGGGTGCTTTTCTTTTACCCCCTATGGCTTGGCCTTACACCCTGGGCTCAGAAGATAGGGATATTAAGAGGTAGAAGCATTACCTACCAAGAAGGCTGAGGGACTGGCGTGGCTCAGTTGACCTATAAACCAGGAGGTCATGGTTCGGTTCTGGTTGGGGCACATGCCCGGGTTGCAGGCTCGATCCATGAGCGGGGAGCAGCCAATCAATGATTCTTTCAGATCATTGATGTGTCTGTCTCTCTTTCTCCCTTCCTCTCTGAAATTAATAAAAAATATTTTTTAAAAAGAAGGCTTAGGGAAACAGATCTAGCCCTCGCCTCTGTAGATATTGGCAGTGCTCCTTAAGACCTTTATGCAGAAAGGAGCTGCTGTTTTCAAAGTCCTGGAAAAATGTCCATGGATGGATCCCAGTGCCTTTTTAAACCTCCTGAGTTAATAACTACTATTTTGGGGGTGAGGTGTATATATGCATAAGTCAGAAACTGGGGAAAATTTTTTTTTTTATTTTATTATTTTTTTAAGTTTCTTAATTTTTTTTATTGTTTTATTGCTTAAAGTATTACAAAGGGTATTACATATGTGACTGGCTTATTTAGCTTAGCATAATGCTCTCCAGTTCCGTCCATGCTGTTGCAAATGGTAAGAATTCCTTCTTTTTTTTTACAGCAGCATAGTATTCCATTGTGTCGATGTACCACAGTTTTCTAATCCATTCATCTACTGATGGGCACTTAGGCTGTTTCCAGATCTTAGCTATGGTGACTTGTGCTGCTATGAACATAGGGGTGCATATTTCCTTTCTGACTGGTGTTTCTGGTCTCTTGGGATATATTCCTAGAAGTGGGATCACAGGGTCAAATGGGAGTTCCATTTTTAGTTTTTTGAGGAAACTCCATACTGTCTTCCATAGTGGCTGCACCAGTCTGCAGAAAATTTTTTTATTATACTGAAATTAAAATGTACCTATGTAAAGTCTCAGGGTTTGGGGAACGTAATTCTGCCTTTTATGTTAAGAAACACATACTTCTGTTCAACAATGTTTATTTGCTTTAACTAGGTCAGTGGTGATAAAATAAAAATGCAGATACTGAAAATCAGTATGCTTTTGAAAAGAACATTATATTATAAATGTCACTCCTAATATATTAAGATGAGTCAATTAGTAGACTATGTCATAATTAGAAACAAAAATATTAAACAAAGGTAACAATAATGTGTATGAACTAAAATATCTTCAGTTTCAAAATTAGCAATAATATTACTTTCCAATTAAGAAGCTTTCCAGTATAAGATATAAAATATAAAGATACTAGACATCATTAGCTATGCATTTTCAAATACCTTTGTAACAATAAAATACACCAAAAAAAATTCAATAAGTTCTGGCCCGTGTTCTGACATTTACATCGGAGAGCTTAGTTTTCCAGTCAAGCTCTGGATTATAAAGTAAGAATCAACTGACTCTTTTAACCAGGTCAGAATAAAACAGAGCCATTGTGCGTGTGGATGGGCTCTGCTATGGTTTGCCATAGTCACTTGTAACGTGGAAGAGTTCTCTCCGGTCTGAGCAGCCCATTTGCAAATAAGACCTCATTTCCAAAGAAGGTATAACAGCAGCCAAAATGAAATTCCAGCGAAAGGAGCTGCCATATTCCCTCCATTCCAATAGGACACATAAGCCTAGTTTAAAAGCCAATTATTTCTATTGATGCAACAAATTCTTGGGTCAGGCCACCACCTCTATAATTCTATGTGAGTTTAGGGCTCAGGACTTACTGAATTACAAGCCAAGAAGCAACCTCGTCAACATGAAAAACCACCGGAGAGCCGCTGCCCTCTGCATCCTGTGCTGGTGCTTTTGACAGTGACAGCACCACTCCCCTCATCTTGCCGCCCTTCCCACACCCCTCCCAGCCCCAAAAAGCTCTCCATCCCATCCCCTGATAGGCTGACCACTTTCCTACAAGTGCCTGGTGCTTGTAGAAGACCTAGCATTTAGCTAATAATTTTAGAAAAAAGCAGGAGGGTGGGACACAGGAGTGGGCCTCTTTTCGCTGGACATGCCAGTTCTCCCTCTTAATTACTAAGCTCGGAGCCCATGGAAAGAAGACAATACAGGGCTATCTTCCCACTCACACAAACACAGAGACTAATGGATATTATTTTAGTTCACTGACACTTTCACAACACAAACTTAAATAACGCCCAGATGTTCATTTAATAGGGCACATAATTTTTCCTTCAGTTGGACTGTCTGTACATGGAATGGGAATACAATATAAAAAGGTCTATTTTTAAAAAACCGTGCTACCGTTCTCAAACCTCTCATAAGCTCACATGCGACATGGGGATACCTAGGTATTGTAAAAACTGCATCTGTCTTACCAAGGGCTACAGAAAACCACTCGAAGTTGTTGGCCTTCTCACCCCTGGGACCCTCAACCCGTACTGCTCAGCAGGCAGCCATTCCCAAGGGCCAGGGCCCTGCGTTAGTCCAGGACCCTATCCCAGCCCTGTCTCCAGTGACCCGAGGCCACTTAGATCATCCCACCAGTGTCCATGAGGAGGATGGTAAAATGGCAAGGAGACATGTGAAACAGAGCACGGCCCCTGGTTAGCATGGCCTGTTCTCGACATGCATGATGCAGTCAACCAGGCCGCAGTAACTGGCTTAGCAGAGGAATGTCAGGTCCTGCAGGAGTCACCAAAGGGCATTTTCACTGACACCTGTGTGAAGGGGGAGAAGCCAGTGCAGTTCTAGAGACTCTCAATCCTAGAATTGCCCACCTGACGTTGTCTCAGGTGTTGGATTAGAATGCACACGTGCTAAGATGACTTTGTAACCTTGGGTTATACGCTTTTCTTAATCACACTGACCTCATTCACTCCATACACCCCAGCAGCTCACCTGGCTCAGGGTGGGTACTCAGAAAATCTGAGATCTGAGTTCATCATTCAAGTCCCCTCTCCCACGTGGCCTTGAATATCCCCATCCCTAACAGCAAAGGTCCCCAGACAGAGAGAGGCAGTGGTTCCCTTAGAGAAAAAACAACCCTAAACTTAAACACATTTAAGTCACCATTAGCGAACGTAATTCCATCTCAGGCTGAAAAGTCCCAGCTGACTGCTCCATGAGGAGCTGTGGGACTTGAGCGTGCCACTGCATCTCTGTGGGCCTTGTACCCTCAGCTTAAGTGGGGCCAATAGCCCAGTGAGTTGTCAGGTCTCTTCTTTCCCATGAAGTCCACTCCCACAGCCCCACCCCACCTGCAGCCCCCTCCCAGCTATGGCTCTGTGGCTGAGGGGGTCCTGGAGCCCTAGGGCTCCCCTCCAGCAGGCCCGTGCTCTCCGCATTTGTGACCAGGTTTGTGAGTGGGGGTAGGGGGGGTGGGGCCCAGGGGCAGGGGGCAGTGATCTTTTGAACAGTCCTAGCATAAATGAGGGTCAGTATTAAGCAAGCATTACTCTTCATAAACTAGTACTGACATCTAGCCAAAAGCCTTAATGGAAAAAGGTTCTTCTTTAAACAATAACTTTCTTTATCTTTAAGAAACATTGCCAAGGATGCAGAAGGAAATGAAGATGATCAAAGATGAGGATGCGCATTTCAACCTGGGTGTGAAGAGGCCCCCCTCTTTCCCCCACTGCCTGCAGCCAGTGGTTTCCCGGGGCAAAGCTCCCCAAAGACACCCCTTCCCAGAAGCTCTCAGGGGGCCTTTCTCCCAGTTCCGGTACGAACCTCCTCCCGGAGACCTGGATGGCTTCCCGGGGGTCTTTGAAGGAGGAGGGTCCCGGAAACGCAAGAGCGTGCCCACCAAGATGCCCTACACCCACCCCTCTGAGGAAGCCGCCCTGGGCCTCCACTCCGAGGAGAGCAAACTCCATGGCCACCCGAACTTCCCTCTGCTGTTCCCGCAGCCCCCGCGCCCCAAATACGACTCGCAGATGATCGACCTGTGCAACGTGGGCTTCCAGTTCTACCGCAGCCTGGAGCCCCTGGGCGGCAAGCGCGTCAAGCAGGAGCCGGTGAATCCTACTACCCCAAGGTGCCCCCGGGCCTCCTGTTCCCCTTCTTCGTGCCCACAGCCTCCCCGTTCCCCTTCAGCCGGCACGCCTTCCTGCCCAAGCAGCCCCCCGACCCGCTGCTGCCCCGCAAGGCGGAGCCCCCGGAGGGCGAGGAGGCCAAGCAGAAGGTGGAGCGGATGGACGTGAACGTGCAGATCGACGACAGCTACTACGTGGACGTGGGCGGGGCGCAGAAGCGCTGGCAGTGCCCCACCTGCGAGAAGTCCTACACGTCCAAGTACAACCTGGTCACGCACATCCTGGGCCACAGCGGGATCAAGCCGCACGCGTGCACCCGCTGCGGGAAGCTCTTCAAGCAGCTCAGCCACCTGCACACGCACATGCTCACGCACCAGGGCACGCGGCCCCACAAGTGCCAGGTGTGCCACAAGGCCTTCACCCAGACCAGCCACCTGAAGCGCCACATGATGCAGCACAGCGAGGTGAAGCCGCACAACTGCCGCGTGTGCGGCCGGGGCTTCGCCTACCCCAGCGAGCTCAAGGCCCACGAGGCCAAGCACGCCAACGGGCGCGAGAACATCTGCGTGGAGTGCGGCCTCGACTTCCCCACCCTGGCGCAGCTGAAGCGGCACCTCACCACGCACCGCGGGCCCATCCAGTACAACTGCTCCGAGTGCGACAAGACCTTCCAGTACCCGAGCCAGCTGCAGAACCACATGATGAAGCACAAGGACATCCGGCCCTACATCTGCTCCGAGTGCGGCATGGAGTTCGTGCAGCCCCACCACCTGAAGCAGCACTCGCTCACCCACAAGGTACGGGGGACCCCAGCCTGGGGCGGGCCACCTGGCTGAGCCTGGGGTCAGGGGCCAGGAGACCGCGCTGCTCCCCACCTCCGCCAGGAGGAGCTGTGCAGCCCTGGGCAGCGGCGCCCCTCCCCTGAGCCCTGATGTCCTCCCCTCACCTGCCAATGGGGAGAATGAGGAGACTAGCAATCAAGTCCTTTCCCCTGAGATGGGCCTAGAAATAAATAATGTGGACTGTTCGGAGAAGTGTGTGGGAAGGAGGAAGGAAGCAGCAGGTCTGTGTGCTCTGGCTTCTTCGTTTCCTAGAATTTCTAAAATTCTGTTTCTGGAAACGTCATTCAGGGTGCCAGCATGAGTGTGTCATCAGGCTTCATCTACCGGGGACCGGTGCTGTGCCTGAGTACATTCATCAGCGCCTTTTTCTAGAGAACTCTCTTGGTTCCTTGCTGCTGAAGCAGTGGTTTCCTTCCCCCCACATCTTCTCCCTCAACTGTGAGACCTGCTTCACGTGCAGGAGGCTCTGGGGGAACAGAGGCTGCGCCCAGCGGGGTCTGTGCTTCCCTGGTGGAGCCCCTGCGCAGTTGACTGTGGTGCCCCGTGGTTTGTATGGAGGAGGCAGGAGAGAGCATCCTTCTCTGGTTAGATTTTATCTTCCCTGAGCAGGGTCTTCAAGGAGAAATACAGGCCGACAGGTCTCAGTTCAGCCGAGTTTGTAACCAGAGCCCTGGAGTCATCCAGGGTGAACTAAAACAAGGCCCCAGTGGTGTCCCAAAATCTCACCCAGCTGAGCTGACTTGGGGCTGCTTTGAGCTTCTGAGAGGGAAGGTCTGCTCCACTGACCTTTACCTCACACCTTTGACCTCAAGTGGTTTTCTTGGCAAGAGAGACTTCCAGAAAGGCAGAGTTCCTAAAACATTCTTCAGTTCTGAAAGGTCCATGGAGGACTCTTCCCAGTCAAGATGCCCTTTAAATTCTGCCATGAAGGGTTTTATCTGATAGGTTAGGACATAGCACAGGGCATTTCTAGCTCCGCTGCAGCGATCAGATGTGTGGCTGCCTTATGAACACTGCAGACAGCTCCTGCCCCACACAAGGCACCAGCAGATAGCATCCAGAGAAGAGGGGCCTGCCGAGGGCAGGGACCATCAACAAAGAAACTACACTTCAGCCACCAAAGAGATAATTTTATGGGGCTCCTACGTGTGTGGGTAAGGAATCAAAGGTGCATTTTGAAACATAAAAATTCTGTAAGTCAAATGGGAAAACAGCCTGGTATCTGAAATAAGTCTCATTTAAATTAAGAAACAGAATGCATTTTAATAAAGGGTGTCAGCAAACAGTGAGGGGTAGTATTAATTGAATGCTTCTGTGTGGCAGCTGCTTTACTTTGCATGTAATCCCCTTCAGCAATGCTAAGAGCTACTTGTCGGTATCATTACTCCAAAATTGCAATTGAGACGCTGAGGCATGGGGCGGCCACCCAGAATCTCTGACTCCAGTACCTGAGCTCTTGAACCCTATTGCCAAGACTTCCCCTTCTTCACCCACTTCCCTCCCTTCCCCTAACAACTCCACAAACTCCCTCTCTGTGATTCTACTGATCCTTTTAGAGACACAGTAGCTTCCTATGTCCCCCAAAGTTGTGTCCAGGCTCCCATTCACTTGGGTTCGAGGCCACCCCACATGTGAATTTTACTTTTAACACAGATTTCTCTTTAGAAAATTCCAAAACAGTGATAAGTAGATACTTCTTGGTCCCAGCATGACTGGATCATAGCCAGTATAGAGACAATCTTGAGGAGGAAGATCCTAAGTAAATTTAATAAGCCATCAAGAAAATAGCTTTCATTAATTTCATAATTTTAAACTCACTGTTTGAATATGCAACACATATTTTAAATTGAGATATCTTCATTAGCATCAGTCTGTACTCCTCTGCAATAATTAGACTAGAGAGCATTCCAGGTTCTCATGGCTTACCTCTTCATCTTGAGATAAGGAAACCTTAACCAGGAAAGGCCACAAGACTTGCCTTAGGCCTGTGGTCTGCAAACTGCGGCTCACGAGCCACATGCGGCTATTTGGACGCTTGAGTGTGGCTCTTCCTAAACCTTAAGATGACCCTAATTGAGTTAATAACAATGTACCTACCTATATAGTTTAAGTTTAAAAAATTTGGCTCTCAAAATAAATTTCATCGTTGTACCGTTGATATTTGGCTCTGTTGACTAATGACTTTGCCAACCACGGCCTTAGGCTATGCAGCCAGTAAGTGGCTGGGCAGAGATCTGAACTCACTCTTGAGTGTCACAGGCTTATCAAAATGGAGGAATGGTACTTTCTTACCATGTCCCAAATTAAAGAACTGAAAATACAGGCAGGGAGAGGCAGAGCTAAGCATGGAACCCCTCCCTCCATAAGTCACTATAAATACCAGCCAAGATGGGATTTATAAAGTACAGTTGTTAGCTAGGCAACTTGATCTAAGCCTGTATTAACCTTAATTTTAATGCTAGAGTTCTTTAAATTTTCCTTCCAAAAAGTCCTTCTGGACCAAGATTCCTTGCAAAGGCTTTTACAGGGAAGCACTGGTTAGTCAGGATCAGTTAATATTCTATTCCTGCTATGAGTCCCTAGAAATGCTTTCAACTAAGGGCATTGATGCTTAAGTTTTTCAAACACTTCTCCACAAACAGCAAGGAAACCAGAAAATCTCCTTTTCTAATTCAGAAAGCTATCATCTGTCACATTTCTCTATAGGACAGAAGCTGGCTTACAGGAGGTTCTATACCCAAATCAAACAGAGATCATCTCAAGAGGTGATTATCAAGTTGTACTTTATAGAAGTGTGGATATAAGTTGTTCTTCTTGGATTTTCAAGTCCATTAATAAGAACTCAAGATATGGGAAATGATATTATCAGTTTGGGAGGTATTTTTCTCATTATCATGAAAGCAGGATTATAGATTCATTTCGAATATCATTCCACAGTGCTCTTACCAAAATCCCGTTAATCCCCAAGAACTGTTACTATAGAATTAACCCCAGCAGCAGCAGGGACAACAAAAGTATTAGCTTTCCTTTTCTCTAACTTTATGTAGTTTATGGTTTTTGGAGAAAAAAAAGATTATGTAATCAACATTTTTCAGGAAAATAGCAATTTAACAAGGCTAAAGCCACACCATTTGGAACTAAATATCTACCAACAAGTTCATCATGGATTATGCAGCAGAAAGAAAAACAAAGACTACAACCCAGATGAAAGCAGGTTACCTGCTAACCACAGTTGTTTTGAATCTTGCCTCCCTGCAGGGTGTGAAGGAGCACAAGTGTGGGATTTGCGGGCGGGAGTTCACTCTGTTGGCCAACATGAAGAGACACGTGCTGATCCACACCAACATCCGCGCCTACCAGTGTCACCTCTGTTACAAGAGTTTTGTGCAGAAACAGACCCTCAAGGCACACATGATCGTCCACTCTGACGTGAAGCCTTTCAAATGCAAGGTGGGCAGGGGGCCCTGGGAGAGTGCGGAAAGGGGGGCTCTGAGGGTTGTGCAAACGCCCATTGGGGAAGAGTCTCCAGGGAACCCTCTATTCCATTTCATCAGGACCACAGAAACTCAGAGTAAGTCCATGGCCAACCCCAGGCTCATCTGCTGCTCTTTCTCTCTTTCCACCACACCTTTGCTCACACCAACCCTCAGCTGGGCCCTGCTTGTCTCACTGCGGAATCAGTTCCTGGGGGTAGAGGCACCAGTAGAGGAAGGTCTGAGGGTGGAAGGACCACTTGGGGAATGAGATGGTTCAAGGATGAAGGGATGTGGAGAGCTCCTGTTCTAGAAAGGAGCAATCCAGTGTGGCCCTCTTCCCTGTACAAGCCAATGAGTAGAATACAGAAAGGAGTCAGAGAAGCTTCTAGCACTGCCCCCACTCCCATCTCACCCCTCCCCTCCTGCCCTCCTGATACGTGGGCTAAGTGGCATAACTTGAAGGCAGGTCTTCCAGAGAGGATGACAGGTATTCTGAGGCTAGCCCTCAGATGACCTCAGAAATGCTTGCTTGGGCCAAGGAATGAGTGTGAGCACAGTCATCTGAAGCATTTCTCACTTATTCCTATGGACCTGGAGCACCTTTGCTAAAGTCTCCATGTCACATTAACTTGCTTGGATTTTTATTTCATCAGCTGAGATAATGTGTGAGCTGAAGATTTGTAAAACCCAAGGCACTGATTGGTGTCACTCAGAAATGCTTGGGCTTCCCAGGCTGTCCCCTCCCAACATTATTGCTCTTCACTTCTAAGAGGAAAAGGAGTCTTGCTCAGGATTGGGTAGTTTCATCCAAGGAATGTACCAGCATGGGTCATTGAATGCACGTCTTGAGGAGGGAGCTGAGGGGAAGAAGAGGGAAATCACCATGTTCAGCTAACGGCTAAGCTTTTCTGTTGGAAATAGAAGTTTCTCTTCTCTCTGTTACTGCATGTCTGATGCGGTCCAAATGATATTCTCAGTTGATTCCTATTTCTGAAGTAGGGTGTTCTGCTTCCAGGGGCTGTTCGTGCGTTCATGCCCCTGCAGCATGTCTCCCCACTTGAAGGAACCCCCTGTGAAGCCAAGTTCTTTCCTGTGTTGGCCACTCCTGGACAGGGTGAGAGGGGTCAGGAACCAGAGCTTCCCTAGACCTGTGTGGGCATTCTCCGGAGGTGGGGGAGGGAGATTTCTCCCTCCAGCCCTTTTCCTGCCACCCACTTGTGTTTCCCCTCCTTTCCTTCAAGTTCTAGTAGTTTGAAAGTCAATTTATGTCCATCTTGAGTCATCTGAGCTGAACAGGGAGGAAGCTGCATGTAGGACCTGGTACAAAAGGAACATGTGAGGCCCTTTGTTCAAATATTAGGAAGAATTTAAGATAGTAAAAACAGAGCATTATGCAGAACTCAGGACCCTTCTGAGTTTGGGGTCCTGTGTGACAGCCTAGGCTGCACACCTTCCTGCGTGAGCCAGTGGACACCATAGACCAACTCCTCTCTCTCTAGGCACTTCTTTGATTTCCTACCCACTTCACTCAGCCCTTTGACCCCTGCACTTTTAATAGAGCTGTTTCTGCCTGCCAGGGCTTCCTGTCCTCTACAATGGAGGTGCAAACAGGAGCTCTTTTCCACGCTTCATTCCTGTGCTGAATTTACTCTTGGACTTCAAGCACATTCTCTATTTTTTATCTTATCAACTGGTGGTAGAGAGCACATAAAGTTGTTAAAATATGAAGGGAGCCATTGCATAATTAGCCATTGCATAGTTCCCTAAAATTTCACACCTGTCCAGTCCAACCAACTCCCATCTCCCCCTCATCAATTCAGGTCCAGAAGTAGTGGTTAAACCAGGAAGAAAACATCTCTGAAACAGAGGGATATGTCAGGGGGCAGAGCCAATACAGGAGGAGGGCTTGCAGGCTATGTGTGATTTGGGGCCACAGAGACAGTCTTATTTCTTTATATCAGGGGCCTCAGAGGGGCCTGGAGGATTTCATGGCCCTGGTGGTATCTGAGGATTTAGAGGGTTCTCTCTGGTACCGGTTCATAGAAGACTGTACAATGCAAGTACAAGAAGGGCCCAGTGATGCAGTGAGCCAGCCTGGCTTGATGTTTCAGGCCTCCCTTCATAAACAACTGCTCCCTCTTCCCCAGTGATAGGGCACCACACATGGGTGTCTGATGGCTAACTTTATGGCTCAGAAACTCAACTCGACTTCTCCTTGAGTGTGCATTAGGCTCTGGATATCTGGTCACACCATGAGAGGGGGACTTGTAGCCTAAAATGCCAGCTCTGAAACACAGTTTATACTCTCCAAGGGGAGATGGGTCTGGAGCAGGAACTGGGATGGTATCTTCAGGGTCACTTCTTCCTGGGACCTAGGTCTCTCAGCAGCTGTAGGTCAGGAGGCCTAGAAGAGTGCATATACTAGTATCATTAGAACAAAAAGAATTGGATATTAAAGGTGAATTTTTAAAAAAATCAAACGCAGGTGGCCCTTCTCCATTCTTAGACTTTTCTAAAACAAGAACAGGTGTCAGTCACCTTGAATAAGAGCTCTCTGTCTCCTGGAAAGTGCCAGAAACATACCACAGGTTCTTCCTCTATTTGTTCCCATCTCCCTGCAAAGTGCCACCCTGCTCAGTGTCCCCTTTCTACTATCACCCTCCTCACTTCAAAGGCATTTCAGAGCCTGTCTGAGTTCACAGGCTATGTAATGGGCCTCTGTGTGTTGGAAAACTAGCTCCAGATGCCACAGTGAAATGGATCACCTTGAGAGGATGTCCTGCGGACTTTGATTCCCATCCATGTTGTGCTAGATTCTTGGAAGTCTGGCCTTGGGTGGAGCTTGTTGGGGATTTGAGAGTTGGGAAAGGAATGGAGGGCTTATTGCTGTGTAATCCAGAGCCTTCAGAGAGGAGTGGCTGGCAGGCTACATCGTGATGGTGGAGAACAGGGCCAGACAACTAACCAAGGCTTGATCATGGTAACAGGGTAGGCATTTCCTTCACAGGATTGGCATGGCTGGGGTGGGGGTAGGGGAGAAGAAGGGCAGGCCTTGCTCCTGCCATACTCTGAGAGGTAGCTCTGTCTCCTTTACCCCAACCGTGAAAAAAAAGAAAAAAGGAGATTCTTTAAGTAACAGATTCTAATTTCTTGGGACTCTCCCCACTAAAAATCCTTCCTAAAATAAACCCCTCCCCCTGTTGCAATATGAACTGGTTCTCTTCAGTCCGTGCTCAGTGGAAACAGCTGTCCTCAGCAAGCAGCAAAGTTCGCTCACGGTGGGATTAAGCAGTAACAATAGAATGGAAAATTAGAGGAGAAGAAAGGTTTCCATTCTGTTTCTTTTTCTTTCCTTATAAAAAGAAATTACTGCCCTTCTGGGCTCTTTTGCTATTGGCTCGGCTCCTGGACTCCTAGCTCTTGGAGCCAGCTGGAGCTGGTCCAGAGACCTGCGCCTGTGCACTTAAGCTTGTTTCAGAAAGATGCTTCCCAGATTCTGCGTAAGCACGCGGGGGTCGACTTGGATGCTATCCTTGTAGCAGCCACACTCCATAAAAGCAAAGAACCAGCTGCCGTCTTTGGGAAACCTGTCCAGGAAAAGCAGCCATCCAGAATTTCCGGGACACATTCTCCTTTGAGATGGGTGAAGCCGGGAGCTGCCTAAGTTATGAATCACCAGGTCATCTGCAGCCTGGTCTGATGCAGAGGCCTGAAGGCCAAGGGCAGAGCTGCTGGAAGAGGATGAGGTCTCCTTGAAAAGGTCCCCACCGCCTCTGCCAAACAGGCCCCATCTTCCCTTCCGGCTCTTGGATGCCTCGTGGGGGAGAAACCATGTGGGGACTTTTAGGGGCTCAGTACTTGGAACCAAGGCTCTCAGGCTGGCATTGAGGGGGTTAAGGCAGTGACCAGATAGCAGCCTTTTGGCAGCAAAGCCCTCCTCGGGCAGAAGGAAGGATATAGCTGTATGAACTGCCTGCTTAACAATGCCTCACATGTCCCCAGGGGCCAGCCTGCAAATAGATTTCATCTTGCTTTCTCTTGTACTTTTCAAAGCTTCCTGTTTTCTCACGGCCCTTTTGGACAGTTTACAGTCTCTCTCTCCCTCCCTCCCTCTCTCTCCCTTTGAGGAAAGGAACACCCTTCTTATTAAAAGAGAGAGAGAGAAAAGAATGTAAGGGAAGGGCAGCTTAGCGGAGGCCATTCTCCTGGGCTGCAGGCTGCAGCTCTTTGACCTTTACTCCCAGAATAGGAAAACACAGGCTTCCTGGCGCATCCCAGTCCTCAGGCTCACACAGGCTGGTTGGCACAAAGCAGTGTGGCTCTTCTTGGCTTCGTGGGCCTCTGGCCCCCGCCCAGCCTCTGCCCCGCTGCACACAGCCGCCCGGGCTTCTCCGTGGCTCTGTGGCTCTGGCTGTCAGCATCATGGCTGGGACTCATGGGAAGTTGCCTGAGGCATCTCCAGGCCCTGGGTCAGGGAGGGAAGAGGCACTGGGGAGCTGGAATTTGGAACTCCTATGAAGATGAGGAACAGGGCTCCTGTCAGCTGTTTAGCGGGCTGAGGATCAGGAAGCCAGATACTGGGTTCCCCCAAAATCTGCAGTCTAAGAGGAATCTTCTCTTTCCATCCACATTTCCCAGTGCTGGATCAGGCACAACTGCCTCCATCTCTGTTATGCTTCAGGTAACCTGGCAGGTATTTACACAAAGGATCCCTCACTTCCTTCAGTATTCCCTGCAAATAATTTGCTTTGAAAAGACAGTACCCCCATCTTCAAAGATCTTCCTATTTCTGGAAGGTAAGAGCATAGTACAGAATAATGATAGTAATAAAAACTCATATTTATTGAGCTCTATTTGCCAAACCCTTTACATGAATTGTCTCATTTGATCTTTATAAAAAACTATTACTATCATCGACATTTTAGGGAAGAGAAAATGGAGAGCTCATTCTCTATCCCTCTGAGGTCTCACCATCACCTCTCTGCTCTGCCCTCTCAAAGCCTAATGGCCCATGCAACCCACTATGAAAGGACAGTTCAAAACATTTGTTCCAATTTTCTATTAAATGTTGAGGTCCACCTACTTCTTGACAAGTAGGTATAAATGTGGGCATTGATGGGAAAGCTGAGACTTCATATCAGGCTCACTAATATCCCTCATTAGAGAACTGGGAGTTTAAGAGGGGTGGGCGGTTGAGATGACCACCTCAAGAGGAACGCTGTCCTCTCCACTCCAGCAGCGTCCCCCTCCAATACCTGCCCGTATCTGAATCTTCGCAGACCTGGGCGGGAGATGATGCAGCAAGTATTGCCTTGAGCAAACTCGTAGCCTCACCTGTTGCGATGAAAGGGGCCTTGACATTGATGGCTGCGTTTCTCAGAAGAAGAAACTAGGGTTATGATGCTCCCTCTCACCCTGACTTCTTCCTTCTAGTCTAACTTCCTTCCTCTGCTACAGGGACTATGCTTGGAGCTCGTATCTCAAACCACAGCACCATCTTTAATGGACCCAGTCTTCTTTCTCTGGTCCCCCTTTGCTGGATACTGAGGTTAGCCACAAAGACAAGGAAGGTAGCCCTAGCACTTCTGAAGGTGCTTTCGGCATCTTTCGGAGTTCACATACCTCCACTCAGCCTGGGAGAGCTCTCCATTGGCGGCCCAGGAAGCTACGTAAACCATGAAGGATAACTCTGGTAAATAAAAATTAATTTTTACCAATAGCACGGCAAGCAGTCTCCTTTACCAATCGCACATCAGAAAATATAGCTTCCCGGTCATGTCCCACAGTGGACCTTCCCTGAGGCCATGGGCCTTGACTTCAGGGGACAATATCAATGTCCCAATGTCCCCACGTAGCATTGACATGTCCCAGGAAGTTTAGTCGTGAATGAATTGAGTCAGAAAAGAAATATTAGAATAGAAAAACACACACTGGGCTTTGATAAAGGATCATAAAATGTTGCTTGTCTAAGGCCGAGGAAGATTCTAGGAAATGCCCCGTGATAGCCATTGTGATGTATGCACACCTCTGTGTGTGTGGGGAGAGAGGTGAGGGGAAGGGAGGTGGGACCTTGGGGCAGGTGAAGTGCAGGGTCTTCTCTGACCCCAAAGTTATAGCAGTTGTGGCAGCAACAGTGATTGATCATTATCACAACAGTGACAGTGACCTTGCCTGTGCCTAAGATTGAGGGCGATATCTAAAAATGTTTAATGAAAAGGCTATTCTTGTGGCAAAACAAACCCCCCAAAAGGGCACTCTATACATTCTTCAAGGTTAGGCTAAAATCCCATCTCTTCTATAAGACCCTTTCAGAAGTCCAGCTTCTAATATCTCGGCAACCATAGATAATAACTAACAGTGGAATTTCGCCCTTCATGGGATTCAAGTGCAGAAGGCACCCATCTTGTCCTTTCAGTTTTCTCAGTTGGCCTGTAGGACCGTGAGACCCATTTAGGCTTGGGTTAGCACAGTAGCCCAACTGATCCTCCAGCCTCCAGCTCCTCTCTCCCTGCATGTCTTCTTGTTGGGCAGCGGGGAGGGGGAAGGAGGTAGAGCTAATTTTGCTGTTTATGAGTCGTCTGCTGCAGCATCATGCCAAATAATTAGGAACCAAATGAAATATGCTTTTTCTAAAATGACCGTGACTTGAATATCTAATGCAGAATCTTTAGATTCAAAGCTTTTGTTTTTCTGTAGCCAGAACGGAGAACTGCATAAACTAAGCTAATAAATAGATCACAAAAGGTTTCCAGAACTTGCACACATGTGCAAAACTTAGGTTGATAATATCTTAATACATTGTCTCTATTGAAAATAAAAGTAAGCAAATATCCATCCCACATGTAGGACTCCTGAAGAGGTTGAAATTAGACCAACTCTCTCAGTCTTTCCCTTCTTGGGTCACCATTTCCAAATGAATGTGGTGTGCACATACTCTGAGTACTGAGTGTGGGAATTCATCTTTGCTAGTAAGGAAGTAAAAAGGGAAAAAGTACTTAAAACTCCCAAATATGAATCACTTAAAAATACAGAACCAACCATTCATTATCCATGTGTGGATTATCTGTGACGAATTTATAACCCCAGGCTGGCTTCCTCCTACCATCAGCATTCTTTTGAGCTAATCTCTCAAGGTCTGCCCATTTGTTAGGTCTGCCCATTCTGCCAAGGCTAGCTCAACTCTCACCTCCATAGCCACATGAGGAAAACATTGCCTTCCTTAACAAGAAGTCAATCCAGAATCCCCAACAATGGCCCTGAAAATCCCTCTCAGGAAGAGAGGAAAACTGATGTCAGCTTTAGAGGACGCTGTACTCCAGTCCTCTCTCCGTGGTATCTCTCACTCCGTACTGGCTTCTGAGGTTGGGGTGGGACGGGGAATGTTCCTCCCTTGACACTGTGTCCAAGCACAGCCAAGGAAGGGCTGGAGTCTCCAAACCCTGCCTTGCTCAGGCTTGGGGACAACGAGAGCAAGCAAAGCACACTCTCCCCACCTGCAAACAGTGCCTTGGAAGAGACAGTGTCTCTTCTGAAAGAAGTTGGAGAACCACTGTTGTGGTCCATCATGCATTTGCACTTTAATGGAAATAAAGAGAAATGACAAAGAAAAAAATGAATAAAACTTGTTTACTTCTTGTATACCTGAGATAATATTTCCAGTACTTCAAACCTCTCCCCAGAGAAAAGACACTCCTTCCTTTACATGTCTCCATCTTCCTTTTGACTTTGAAATTCATTCCAATAATTAGCACATTTAAAAATTAGAAAAGTATGGTGTGGTGGCTGACCACGTGGCCTCTGGTGTCCAATGACCTGAGGTCATTATCCCAACTCCAGCACCCACTAGCTGTGTGCCTTGGCCAATCTTAATCCCTCAGTTTGTCCATCTGTAAAATGGGGGTGACAACAGTACGCACCTCATAGGATTGATGTGAAAAATAAGTGTGACATTCCATGGCAGACTGGCGATAGTACCTTCCATATTGCAAATGCTCCATAAATATTAAGCAAGTAACTGTATCGTTATTATTCAAGTGAAGCACACTTTGAGCAATTGCTTTTCAGATCAGCTTTTCTCCTTTCCAAAAGATGCAAAAGAAGCTTTAATAGCTTTGTGATTTTTACCTTGAGTTTTAAATCCTTTACCACAGGAACAAAATCTCAAGAGACCACCCCTATCTGCTGCGCCTCTGCGCCTGGGCACAACCACCCCCTCCTTGACTTCCACGGGGACATTTTCTTTGCAAGCCACTTGAAATGCCCCGATTCAAGCAAAGGGCCTCACACGGGCCTGGCTGTGGGTTCACGGGGGCGGGGTCCCTTGCCTGCAAGTAACCTGTGTTCTCCTTGTCACTGTCTCGAACAGCTATGCGGGAAGGAGTTCAACCGGATGCACAACCTGATGGGCCACATGCACCTGCACTCTGACAGCAAACCCTTCAAGTGCCTCTACTGCCCCAGCAAATTCACCCTGAAGGGGAACCTGACTCGCCACATGAAAGTCAAACACGGTGTCATGGAGCGGGGCCTCCATTCTCAAGGTATTAATCTTCCATGAAGCCCCCATGCCTGTGAGGCCAGTGGGTAACAAATGGGCAGTGACCTTGTTTACAGGGGGCTTCGCTTTATTCTTATGGTTGAAAAAGGGAGTATAACTTTCAAGACTACAGCAGGGTAGCAGGAGCAAGCTGACAATGTTATGATAACAAATAAAATGCTAAGATCTGAAGGCAGCAAGTACAAATGAAGTCTAGAAAGACAACTGGAACATTGTAATGATGCCAGCTTCAGGCTGGAGGGACTTCCGTTGTCCCCGTTCTACAGATGGGGGAACTGAGGCTTCCCAACATTAATTTGCCAGAAGTTGGTCAACTGAAAACTGGCAGAGCCAGGATTTGAACACCGACCTTTCTGACTCTAAAGCCTGTCTTGTGTACACTTTGCCACACAGCTGTTAAAGGGCATGCGGTTTTTCCCCCCTTTTGGGAAAACAGGTCTGCAAGCTCTGTTGTCAGCAGAGATCTGTCTGTAGCAGGCAGGAGCCTCCTCTTACCTGTTCAGGACCAGACAGTGGGAGCCATGTCTCCCTCCCTGAGTCCGGACTGAATGGATGGAAAGCTCTCGCCTTGTTTGTCAGTCCCAGGGCCCCCAGAGTTCATGTTCCAGATCTGCTGAACTTGGCAGGTTGCTCCTTGGTCACCTAACCAGGCAGTCTTTCAATAGGCAGTAAGTGCAGTCCATCCTAGGCGTGTGCTCTGAGCCGTGGCAGCAGTGAGGGACGGAGACCAGCTTTGTCCTCTGGGAGGTCTGCGTGGAGGGAGAGAAGACATATACAGAGGTAACTTACATGGTATTAGCTGGCCGCTCTTTTCTGGTCAGTAGTATGATCAAAGCACAGAGCTCATTCCCACAATTCCCCAAAGCAGACTGTGTTGTTCTCATGTTATACAAGAGGAGGCCAAAGCCGGGGGGTGTGATATGAACTGCTCAAGGTCAATCAGCAAGTCTGAAGGCAGAACTGGGGTTCCAATTCAAGAATTTCTGAGTCAAGCCAGTGCTCACCACACCAGGTGAAAACACAGGTGACTCATTTGTGTTTGCTCTTCCTCCCACCCTTTTCCAAAAGAGATGGTCAGATAGGCACACCTATTCATAAACAAGGAGCACACAACAGAATGATTGTGATTTTCAGATTTTTACAATGTCACCTTGCCTCCTGGGTGACAGGGAACTGTGGTCATAAAGCAAGGCCTAGAGTTGGTGCAAAAGCCCTGAAAAATTCTGGTTAAAAATCAAAAGCAATTTCTCCACCCTAACCATGTTTTTCACCTGAATTATTCTTCACGTCTCTGAGCGGCTTCCCAAGTTAGGCCTGGATTTTTCCAGAACAGGTGAAGTGTGTTCAGTCGCCAGGGCTGGAGACATAGAAGGCCATGATGAGACAGGCCTGCACCTGAACGCCTAACCTGCTCACCACAGCTTGTCCCTATGGACACTCAAAAGCCTAGCAGGCACCTGACAACTCTATCATTCTGGAAAAATAAAGAACATCACTATATATCACAGAGCTGCTTTGAAAACTTTTAACAGACTTGCAACTATTTTAATGTTTTCATCTACAAAAGGGGTCAGTAATTTTTCATTCCAGTTTTTGAAATGGCTCAAAATCCAAGGCCCAGATCAAAAAGACCCTCCCTGTGCCCCCAACAAGATTAAAGCTATAGACAGCTTCCTTGCCTGACGGCATCTTGAGGCTGGCAGCGCTGGACATCAGCTTCCTTTGTGTTTCCCCACCCAGAAGCCTGGTCCTCCTGTGGTGCCGCAGGCTCTGGCTGCAGCCCAGGCCTATCCCTCCCAGTTCGCCTCTCCAGCCACCCCCACCTGTTCCTCGGGGCCTTACTACGGCCAAGATCAAATCAGGTGGAGCCCTGCCACGGCCTGTTGGCTCCTGGAAAGTGTGTGGACAGTCCTCAAACTAAACTAACAGTGAGGCCCTCTCACATCACTGTACCTGATAGCAGGGACACTTGTAGTTGGACACAGGGCCTCTGGGGTCCCCAGAGGACCTCTTTATGAGATATCTTTTTTTTTTCCAGGGTGGAAATATCTTTAATATTGTTTTATCTTTTTTCTTTTTCTTTTTTATTGCTTAAAGTATTACAAAGGGTATTACATATATGTCCTTTTTTTCCCTGGCCTCCCCTATCCCCCAGTGTCTTATGTCCATTGGTTATGCTTATATGCATGCATACAAGTCCTTCAGTTGATAAAAGAAATGCTTGCTGAAAAAAAAAAAGAAATAAAAAGAAAAAATGTCAAAAATCACCTCATTTTTTAGATTGTTGACAACCTTTTTTTAAGAGACAGAGACAGGAAGAGGGAATGAGTGAACTGGGTCTACACTATAAATATATATAATAAGTATATATGTTTTATACTTAAAATATATAGAGAATACCTCTTTATGTTATTAGGTCTCTACATCTCCCACACACAGTTCATTGTGTGGATGCACTATTATTTATTTAAACAAACCTCCACCATTAAATAGATACATTGTCGTCACAGTTTCATTATTAAAAATGTGGTGATGAGCACACTCACACACAGACTTGTTCACCTGCAAATTTGCATAGTTTAAATTCTCAGTAATTGCTAAGTGTGAGCAAGGCTTGTTTTTAGATTTTGGCGCATGTTGCCAAATTCACCTTAGAGGGGTCACCCCCATGTAGATTTTTTCTGGGAGTTTATCTATTCTTAAACTGTAAAATCAAGCTACACTGAACGGCCCTGGGTACCACCAGCCACCCCTTTTCAAAGGCTTTTCCAGGGCCTGAAGGCTGCCTCTGCTCTCACAGGTTTTGGAAGGGGGAGACTCGCCCTGGCGCAGGCGGGGGTCCTGAGGAGTCTGGAGCAGGAGGAGCCCTTCGACCTGTCCCAGAAGCGCCGGGCCTTCCAGTCTGACGGGGAGAGCGCCAGGGGCAGCTCCTGCCACGAAGAGGAGGATGAGGACCACTGCTGCGAGGTGGAGCGGGACAGCCCAGGTCCGGCCTCGCGGAGCAGGCAGCGCTGCGTGCCCCAGGATCTCTCCACCAAGCCGGAGACGGCCCCCCGGGCGCCCCAGGAAGCCTGCGAGGAAGAGGAGGAGGAGGAGGAGGAGGAGGAGGCGGCCGTGCAGAAGGAAGGACGCCAGGAGAAGAGCAAGGACAGCCATGGGGCAGAGGGCGGCCAGGAGAGAGATGGCGCCCGCAGAGAGGAGTGTCCCAGCCTCAGGGCGCTGCAGAGCGCACGGCGGGGGGCCTCCTTTTCTGATTACTTGTATTTCAAGCACAGAGATGAGACTTTAAAAGAATTACTGGAGAGGAAAATGGAAAAACAAGCAGTGCTTTTAGGTATCTAAGTGGAGAGTTTTAGAATTACACTTGGAAATGAGACGCAGGCAGTTCAAATATAGCTTTCTGCACGAGCTGTCATTCGCTGGCGACTGGCGACTGGCTCGCATCTTCACAGATGGCTCAGACTCCGTGAGCAGGGGCGTCCTCAGCCAGGGAAATGCTTCCCGGGTCATTCCGGGCCCTTGATTTTTAACGTCTCTCCGGTGTTATTTCTGCCTCTCCAATGCGAGACGCTGTGCACATTCTTCTAGGCATCTGATTGTAGGCCGATGCTGAGGTGCTTATAGAAATCCTACTTTTCTTTGACTACTATACAAGGTAAATTTCTTTCAAGTGGCAAAACTATGGTGCTTGACATGATTCCTAATTAATGACTGTTTAGTTGAATGTGTGAAAGTTACAATATTTTTTCAGATAGATGAAAATATGAGTAGTTGTATATATAAAAGTTGCCTTTATTAAAAAACAAACAAACGAACAAAAAAACACAAAAATACCAGGAATGACACAGGAGTTATTGAAAAGGAGTGTTCTCATATAGTCATTGCAGAAATAAGACAAAGTTTCAAGAGAAAATGAATAATTTTGACTAAGGAAAGCCCAGCCATGCTTAGGTTCCTGCCTGGGTCCGCCTTGCTGGGCTCCAGCCCCCTTCATTGGTGCGGCCTTAGGAGCGGATTTGCAGATGACGCCCAGTGCTCGCGCCTGCGTCCGATTGGAGCTCCCTCCTGGAGCCCTTGCTAATGCAGCTGCAAGAGGAGTTGTCACCCTGTGAGCAGCTGGCTGCTCCTTGGGGCTAGAGCGGGGGCAGTAGGGGAAGGCTTCTCCGTGAAACCCAAGGTCTGACTTGTTTGGAGAATTAGAATAACCCGCAGCGAATCACCAGTAGGGGAGAGTCGGGGCTGTGTTCTCAATGTGCCTGCGCGTTAGAATCAGCTTGGGGAGCCCTTTTAACAATACCTCATGTGGGTCCTCAGCCTCTGAGACTCTGATTAAATTGGCCTGAGTGGAGCCCCTGCTTCGGTTATTTTCTAAATTGCCCCATGATTCTTCCATGCAGCCAGGGTTGAGAAACACTGACTGGGCTAAAATAGTGACTCCCAGGACCCCCTCCCAGGGACTCCATAAATATCTCTGTGTCTGGCTTCAGACTCATTAGGAGAGAGAGAGCAGGAGACCTCAACATCATACTGCTGACTTAGGCTTTTCACCTGTTCAGTAGGGACACACACAGTATGAACACATACTTCCTATATTTCAAGATGATGCCTGAGATGTTTATGGTCACTTAATATGTTTTAAAGTACATAGCCAGCTTGTAGTGACTAATCACGTCTTCCTAGATGCTTGAATCGTGATTCCAGTGACTGCCCATGATTAGAACGGGTGGGCTGAGCCCGTAGGTAGGCTTCCCTTAGGCACGGCACCGAGTATCGCAGTGCGGACAGGATGTCACTTATGTGTGACTGACCATACGCAGGAACCCGCTGGTACTGTGTCTGTGTTTATGTAAAAACTGCCTCTAGGTTGGTAGTTTCAACTCTTATTTGTAGAGCTAGGTACTGTTTATTATTTTGCTTCCTCTCCTCTCAAAGTTCCCGATACATTTCCTTAGAAGACCTGGCCCATCTCTGACTGCTGGGTGCTAGCTTTTCCTCTTGGCCACGGTGCTTCCCCATCAGTCTCATCTCGTCCTCATCACTTACCCGGGCGCTTTGTCAATTCCTGATGCATTTCTCCTGCCACTGTGCCTAAAGCTCCTCCCTTCAGCCCCCCCACCACCCAGTGTCAAAGCTGCTTAGGTTTCCTGCTGCCACCCATGTCCTTAGGTCAGAGCACCTGCAAAGGGATGCTGATGGATGGTGTGGTTTCTGCAGTGACAAACACAACTCTGGGCCAAGAACCTGTCCCAAGTCCTCAGAGGGGCAACTTGCTTTCCACTCATTATTAATATGGCTCATTGATGCCCTGATGAACTCACCCAGGAGGCGGGCCATGAGGTCTGTGAGGTCCCGGTCCATACTTACTCTTTCAGCAGTTGTGTGTGGAGGAGCTACTATGAGGGCTGCAGACTTCCAGTTTGTTCTGGGTCTGGCTAGCTGGAAAAGGAACCAGGGAATCTAGAATAGCAAGCTCTAGTCCTCTCTGACCAC